GTTGGTTGAATAGGCTGAAACTGACTTCACTCAAGTGATTAATTGAAGTTGAATCTGACCCAAGCGCATTATTTCAAAAATGGAATGGTTTTTGAAATCCTGCTCCTCAATAAACCAAATCAAACCATCTGCATTCATTTGGTATATCATTTGTTTTAACGCCTGGCTTGTCGTCAGGGGATGGGCGTTTGGAACACCACTGGTCCCAATCTGGGCATATTTTGCCTGAACCCAGCGTTGGTCCATGGTGCGCCTCAGGTCTGGAAGGGCCTGCAACTTCATCCTCTGGGCCTCCTGGCACCCAGCCTTGTCTTTGGGGTTGATCCCCACTATTATGTCATGTTTACATGACACTTTTTTGGGTGCTTTCATTTCAAGGAAACTTTTGTATGGTTGGGTTGGACCAACTACATAGAGGATTTACATAGCCAGCTAGTATTGGGTGAATGGCGCTTTCAGTGCCCCAAACCTCTCCCTACTAGGTTAAGCTACTTTGGTTGCTTGTCAGTGCACCAAACAAATATGTAAATTTATATGGCAGCTGGAACTGGGGTTTTTCCAGTCTGTTACAATATGGGGAGCAATAGAGGTGATAGATAGATAGCATAAATAATTGACTATTTGTGATAGCACTACATCTTCATGAAGAATGGGGACCATAGCCTTATACAGCTCCCAATATGAATTAACAGTTGCCATCATCTTGATGCCCACATTTTTATTGGTTAAAATATCTACTCCCACTAACATGTGGGCCTCAGATGTGAAACGCTATGCAAACCCCACCAAAGACTTGTTCTTTCAGAATTTTATTGTCAGAAAATCTGTCTTTCACTGCATCATCTTCGCCACACCCCCAAAAAGACAGAGCATGGTTTACTTCACCTCCTGATATGTTATGGTGCTTTTCTTAAGATAGCATATAACCTGGTCACGCTCTCAACATCCAAAGTGGATAACAACAGTTTAGCCTTATGTCTGTCCAGTGCTCCTTCCACAGCAAATTCAAACTGTTTAAAGTACCCGTGCATGTTCCCATCTTGACTAAAAGGCAACAACTTTCCAACCTGTACAAACTAGGCCTGCTCCAGGCTTTCAGTTCAGGGAGCAGACAAGTTTGGTTCATATCAGCTTAGGGGAACATCCCCTTGTGGGCCATAATAGGGTTGCATGGATAGGTCCAAATCTGCTATGGGTAACCAGGAAGAGGTTGGATTGCTGGGGGGATTGCCATGACAACTGGGGGGTGCTTTCTGGCTAACCCATAGTATTCATCAATTGATTTGCTGCTTACCTCACCCCTTCTTCCTTTGCCAGTCTGTACCACAAAAAGTTTATCAACAATCTGCTCCACCTTGAACAAGTTGCAGTGGCACTGGCCATCTCTTACCTCATGCTGGAGCTCCTCAATTTCCTTCTGTAAATTGTGGCGAAGATCTCACTCTGTATCAAATTTATGCTCCATTTCCTGAAGCTGTATAACCACATCCTCTACCATCCCCTGCACTCTTGCACTATGCCATCCAGTTTTTTGAGCCTGTCAGTTTGCTTCGTCCACTTGACTGTTTAAAGTGGCTCATTCCCTTACCAACTCCTCATTAGACTGTCAAAGGTTTTTAAATGCACTTGCATATCAGCATACTCCAACGTCTCATCAAATGGAAGAGTAACAGCCCTGCCTCTAGCCGCTTGGCTGGAACTCTCCAGCTGGTTGATCCATACTTATAATTGGCCATATTCTGGGGTTGCCAAGACAGATCCAGTCAAGTGGTCAGCAACCCATTTATTATGCCACTCAGCTCAAAGTTGGATAATTTTGATTGCCACTGAGTTGGCATGATCAATCACTCGCTACTCTAACAGGGTAACCTGGTCCCTTGTCCAAGTCACTGCCATGTCAATACCTTCCTTTTATTCAATCATTTCCACCATGAAGCGTTTGGTGTTACTACCCAGCATCATGGTATCACATATCCATTCACCTAAAAGACAACACCAGACTAATAATTTTCCTACTACTTGGGCAACTTATGGTTCAAGCGTGGAACTAATTAGTCTATGCGGTTGTGGATGTTCATGACATGACTGTCCACTTGCACTAATGCCCCCTGCACTTCCAATAAATAGTGGTTGAGGCATTTGAGCAAGAGGTGAATGTCATTCTGTTGCACATGAAAAGAACGCATGACATTGCCAATTTCAATATTATTCCAGGCCAATACATGTAGAAGTCAGATTGAAGGCTGAACATATGTGACCAGGTATTCCTCAACTTCATGGGAGCTGAGCTGGTGAGACAACCTCATTGTGGTAGCATCAAGGTATGTCATATACATGGCATATCATTCTTCTTGGTTAAGTTGACTATAGAACAGGCTCATGGCATGGCCACCCACATGTCCTTCATAGAGGTAGTAACCCCATAAGAGCCATTCCATGATACCTTGCAGTTGCTGGGGGAGTTACATTAATGGATCTGCCCTGTTTTGCTGACTATAATTTGGGCAAGCTGCTAGCTGAAAGTCCAAACTGTTTTCCTTATCTTTTGGTTCAGTTACTGTAAATAGTGCCAGTTCCTTGTTGGATATCTACATTGGATCACCAGAGTTTATATTGTGAAACCCTACTAGGTTTTGATATAAGTAGTGGGGCTCATCATGATGCCCTAGTTGCTGTTGTACTACATTTGACCAGTGGCCCCCTGTAGTGAGCACCACTGTTAACTTTTATTGATATTTACTGAAATCCACTAAGCTGGTTACCCAGATTTTAGAACCACTGAGCAACTAATGGACAATATGAATATTGCCAATCCTTGATAATTAATAGTAATATAAAAATAGAAAGCTATTGCTCCAACGGATACCACTTTATTATATGTAAAATAGAAAACCACTTCCACTAACCTTCTCTTCTTCTTCCCTCTGGATACCCAATCTTTTTTACTACCAAAAAATCTCCTACTTTCAAGTCTTCTGCTCATCTCTTAATTCTCAGTATTCTCAGTCAGTTTCACCCTTCAGCTTAGTTAATTCCCTATTCACTATGTTTTAGGGGTTTCATCCTATCATTAAGGCTCTGGCAGAATTCACTCTATTTGCCAAAATATTATCACCTCTATTGACTCACTTCAAATTGGCATATCTTACTACCTTAATCTCAAGGCTCACTTTGACTATAAAATACAATCCACCAACCTATATGGCTTATTGTCCAGTCATATCAATTTCTCAACAACAAGGGATAGAGAGTTGATTTATAAAGGCCCAAATTAGGAGTAGGGATCCCAACTTGCTTATTATCTTGAATCTCAACAACTTTTACCCAAATCTCCTTTTTAAAATATTTTTCTTCACTCACTGTGGTATCTATCTGGGTAGAATTTTGTACTTGATTTTTAACTATCTTCAGACTAGCTAGAACTTTAAAATTTGGTATACTTATATATCTTGGATGATAATATAATAATCTATTAGAAAATTATAAAATATTTATAATACATTATATCTGATTATATGCCTGTTAACTCATTACTATTAATAAAATAATGATAAGAGGGGATAGAGGAAACAATGTTCATCATACCTAGAACTGGGTTTGGACCTGTTATAGTATTTTATCCCACCTTAGTTTGTGGTTACAGGTGTGTACAACTATACCAGTTATTTGGGATCAATTCTAACCAACCTTATTTATAATGGCTAGGTTTCACAACATATAAGAGTTTAAAATTGAGACTAATCATAATAAACTTGTATCTGATAGGGGGTGGAAGGTGAGTTGGTAAGGGTGTACGGCTACCAACCTGAAGGTTGCGGGTTCGATTCCTGCCCTTCGCACATCGATCAGGGTGCCAGCCAAAGGAAGCTATTGGCGGTTAGTAGGTCTAATAACATGAAAACCTTACCCATGATGTAGCCAGAAAAATTTTAGTCCCGATCCGGAGGTGGAAAAACTTTCTTTGACGGAGTTGACCCTGTTCGGGTTTCATATCATTTCTTTCTTTTGGTAATGCTTGTCCCCTGGTTGGCTTGCCTCAGTTAAATAAAAACTTGTATCTGATATTTGTTGGGTTTAATAATATTCTACCCAAATAAGGGTTGGTGCTGACCAATTAATTATTCAGTTTAAGGTATAATCCTATTTCCTTATGTAAGGGTAAAATAAAAGTAGGGTGAGCTCAGTTTGGTGAATGATTAAAGAATTAAAATATTTGAGGTGGGTCAACCTTGGGATAAATATACCACATGAGATTTTTTCTAGCCAGTACAGGTTTCGAACTTGAATCGAACAAAACCTGTACTAAAGTGGAAGCAGGAATTACCCTGCCAGGCTAACCACCTTTGATCAATTAAAGAGTAGTAGGTATCGGAGTTATCCATTTTTGGTGTTAGGGTGGGTTTGGTTAGATGATGAAAAGTTTGTTTATTTTAAACCAATGGGGATGAAGATTTTACTGAGACAGGTTTTTAGAGCTGGATAAGTTCCACAGGTTGCTCAAGGGCATATTATCAATTAGTTTCACTTGTATTAAAGATGACCTTTGATAAGTTTTAAAGATTCTATTGGATGATCTCATTGATGTAAAACTGGTCCAACTATATTTAGGCATCATTTAACTTATAAGCCGCAACGTATAATTTCTTAAGACCATCTAATTTGGTTGGTTCGATTCGTCTTATTAAATCATACCCACTTTGATTCTCTTAATTACGCCGTAACCAATCTTAGAGTTTGGAGACTTGAATACATTCCCATCTCACTAAAAGTGACGCTATTGGTCTATCGACCATTTAAAAATCGAAATCGAATGCGCTATCGTCCTCGATTGGATTTATTAATTTCGGGCATAACAGATGATCAGATTTTTAAAAGGCTTGAGTTGCAGGGTATGATAAATGACTAATTTTTAAACCCGGCGGTTTCGTTTAAAGCACATATCAATAAAGGAAAGTAGAGATAAAATTAATTAAGCAATACATTTCAAAAGGAACAAATTTATGTAGTCGAATGGCCAAGGCATTACCCTCCTAAGGCAGAGGCTGCAGGCTCGAGCCCTGCCTGGGGTAATTCATCTATCGATTCGCCTTAAGTTTTCGCTGTCAGCTGTTCCCAACAAACCAGGCGCCCGCATTCGGGTACGTTCTCTGGGGTTACCAACAGCTTAGGGCGGATCTTTATAACGGTCGTCACAGGTAGATCTATAATATGATTGGTTTATATTTGATCAATCGGAGAAAACGGATGATGAGAATTGGGTTCAATTGTTTAACAGCCCCAATTTAAATGGAGAGGCTAGATGCATGCTTAACGAACCTCCTCTACATTGATTGGCTATTCACGAAAAGAGCATAATTCGATATCAATTTAAAGACTGGCCCCTTGAATGGCAGCTTCGAGTTCGGTTCGATACGGATCCGATTGATAGATGGGCCAATCAGATAATCATAGATGGAAGTAGGTTGGGGTTAGTGGCTGGCTCAAACTTAAGTGGTGTATGCAGGTTGGATTTATTTGATTCGTTGCCACCAGTCGTTTGGTACCCTTGGCCTCTTGATTCTCTTCATCCCCTCCCACTCGACTTAATTCCATGCCCGCCTCCCACTCACATGAGCGCCCAAGCTCCCCCCTCCCTCATGTTGCGAGCAGGTCAAAACCAGACAACATGTTTGGCCCCTACGTTCTCCTCTACACCATCGGCGAAGGGGAATTCGCCAAGGTCAAGTACGGTATCCATTCCGAAAGTGGCGAAGAGGTAAATCTTTGCGCGCCAAACTAAAGCAGCAGGCCGCGATAAAGCTCATACGCAAGGATAACGTGGACGTCGATAAATTATCAAAGATCAAGCGCGAGATCTTGGTGCTGAAGGTAACCTTGCCGTTTGGCGCCCTTCAGTTTGCTGAGCCTTTAGTCGCTTTCGCATCCGTACATCGTGCGCTTGGTTGAAGTTATCGAAACTCAAAACTATATCGGGATTGTCCTCGAGTACGCCTCGGGTAATTCGTTTTAGCAGCCCAAGTCATCTAACGTCGCCAAAAGGGGGTGAGCTATTTGACCACATCTTGGCTCACCGGTATCTCAAGGAGAGGGAAGCGTGCCGGCTCTTTGCCCAGCTGATTTGCGGTAATTTAATATTTTTTTGCCCTGACCGGCTCGATTCAGGGGTGGATTACCTTCACCGGAACAAGATCATCCACCGCGACCTAAAGCTGGTGAGTTTTTACTTCGCCATCGCCCCCCAATCGTTAACTAATGATCCTCAGGAGAACCTCCTGTTAGATCGCAACCGAAATATTATCATCACCGACTTTGGGTTTGCCAACCAGTTTGGAAGGCATGGCGACGATCTTATGGCCACCTCATGCGGTTCCCCATGTTACGCTGCTCCCGAGTTGGTGGTGAGCGATGTGAGTTGTCAAGCCAAGGCTTTCCTTAACACAAAATAGGGTATGTATGCGGGCTCCGCCGTAGATATCTGGTCCTGTGGAGTTATTTTGGTAGTTGGGGTTGGGGGATCTAATTACGTTAGTACGCCATGCTGGCCGGCTACCTGCCGTTTGATGACGACCCATCCAACCCCGAGGGCGATAACATCAATTTGCTTTATAAATACATCCTTTCGACCCCGCTCTCCTTTCCTGACTACGTGGGGTCCGATGCGCGCGACCTCCTGCGACGGATGCTGGTCCCGGATCCTGCCAAGCGCTGCAAGGTCAAGGACATCATGAACCACAGGTAACCTTACGATCGGCTACGGCTGACTTACTCAGATGGATGGCGCCGTTCAAAGGTTTATTTGAAGAGTTTAAGCTTAAAGCCAAGCTCGAATTCGTCACCGGCACGCTTAGCCAGGCCGAAACCGAGCCGAAGCCCGGTTTGGAGAGCAGCAGCAAAACCAAACGCCACACGATTCAGATCGGCTCCTCCCCCGAAAACTCACTACAGAAAGAGACTTTGGGATCGATCAAGCAGGAGTGCGAAGCGTCCCCGTGCCAACCGTCCAATGCGCGCCCACAGAGGAGCCCTTCCCTGACATCGCAGCGGACAGCAGGAAGCAAAGACGAGCTGGCGGTTGTCAGCTCGCCGACAACTGAGAGCGGCGAAGTCATGCCGTTGGACCCCCTCGCGTTGGCGCATCAACCCTTGGACCCCTTTGATCCCAACACCACGGTACTGTTTGCCATGGAAGGCGAGCGATCACCGGAAAGAAAGGCTTACCGCTCGCGGAAAGACCGGTCGGCATCCAGCCACGTCACCTTTCCTTCTAGCACCAAGCAACCCAAAACCCGCCCCATCTCGATGCAAACGCCCGCCCCTACCAAGGCAAAGGCGCCCGCAACCGACGCGGTGGTTGCCGACAGCCGCGCTAAGGCTGGGCAGCTGGCATCCAGCACCCCCCTCCGGATTGATCCGAATAGGGCCTTGAGGCCAGTTTCCCTGGATCCCAGGATCTCCCAACCCTCACCCGCGGCAACCTTGGCTTCGGACGTGGCTGGGGTGGAGGTTTTATGCCATTCCAACCGTCGCGACGCGCGCAAGGCTTTCAGTGCGGTACTGGACGCATCCAACGGACAAATCTCTTCCCAGCTTCCCCAACGCCAGTCCACCATGTCGCCCGCCTCCACCACGGCGCGGCGCATCACGGACTGGATCAAGCGCAAGTCCATCGTCGTCAAATCGGGCACCCCACCCCCCGGAGCCCCCGCGACGGAGGGTGCCAACCGACACAGCCTCAACTTCCCGCGCGACAGTGGCGCCATCTACCGGCTGCGCTATCACCGTGGCGCGGTGGACCAGTTTGCCCTCACCTCGCGCCCGCCTCCTGTAGTGATCGAAGAGATCAAGGCCACCCTCGCCACGATGGGCTTTGTCTTGGTGAAGCACCACGACTATAAGATCAAGATCGTACGTCCTCTTAAGGGCGATATGCCCCGCCTCCCCGCCTCCGGAGGTCGCCGCTTTACGTTTATCGGCCTCCGGGACCTCCTGCAACTCAGGTCTCGCGCCGGTATGCAACCCTCGCCGAGGGTTGTCGACCCCGCCCCGGAACCACCCGCGGTACCTAGCTCGCTTTACGGGGACACCTCCATCGACAACGGTGAAGAGATTCGGATGGCGGTTGAGCTGTGCCGCATCAAGGACTTCCCCAACCTGTACATCTTTGACATCAAGCGTCTCAAGGGTAACGTGTGGTCCTACAAGTTTCTCTACCACCTCATCTTGGAGAAGCTGCAGCTCAATGCCAACGGCGGCTACCTAAACCCCGAAGCCCAACCTGCCCCTTAAAACCCCCATGTTTCACTAGTTACCTACCTTCCCATCTAATGCAATCCTAGGCTACGAATGTTAAGCCCTCACCTAATAAAACTTCATAATCCGCCTGAAGCGTTGCGTTGGCCCTTTCTGAAAGCATAGGGCCGTTATTGGGCACCCATCCCACGCCCTAGAGGGGATCATTTGTCCTCTTAGGTAAGCCTTCAATAAAGCCTGGTGAAGTGCTACTCAAACCCAAGCCGACGCCCGGTAAAAGGAATCTAGGCTAGTTTAGCGGTAGCCCAACATGCCATCCAAGGCGACGAGCAACCTTTAAAATTAAAGCCAGCATGGGCTCAGCTATGCTTAAGGAACTTTATCGACCTGCACAAACGATACTTGGATGACCCACTGATGAGACCACCCCCATACCGCCCTTAGCTTATAGCGATACGTATGTTTATAGGTGGTCAAACCAAGCGAGATTCAGTTGTACCGACCCGCTTTAAACGAAAGCCCAAGGGTGACCTTACGTTTTCAGTTTAAACCGCCACCTGAGCCTACGGCGTTTAGCGGTTTAAACCAACCCTAACCTGATGCACGGTTTGATGACCACCTCTGGCTTATATCAACCAAAGTACCCATGCCAACCCCCTTTGCTTACCCAGCCCCACTTGATGAACGCGATTTCAACCCTCGCTGGCAACTGAGATTGGTTTACTTTGATACCTAACGCTATACTGGTACCACCCTGTAACCTCAAAATGGGTCAGGTGGTGCCCATTATTAACGAGGGTAAGGTCCAAACCGGTATCTAGATTATCCACTGGATTTTAAGCGGTAGCTTTTTCCGATCCAATCAAAACCTTTGACCAACCTTGTAAAGTAGGTGCCCTTACCCCTATCAACTTTAACCACGCCCGATGAGGTGACTATGGAAGGATATACGCTCATCTAATTGAACCCCTTTTAAATTTGTCAGTATCTCCACTTGAGCAATTATAAAACTTTCATTCAGGGGTGTCAATCCACCATCTCACCTGAAGAGGGTAGAAGGTAAAGTATAAGAAGGGCAATCAAGTATTGTCAAGGCAGGTTGAATTACCATCAGCTAGGGGTACCAGAGGACCCCATTGAAAGCTTTTATCATTTTAGCCATACCTTACAACCATGGTTCTCAAGGTATGGCTTAGAGGTTTGGTCAGTCGAGCATTTTTCTTGGTAATAGCCAATAAGGATCCTTTGACCGGTCATTTATAAAGGCTGGGCTTACAAATCTACATACAAGGCAGTACAATGGGTGGTAAGGTCATTGGGAATACATTTAGACTCAGGTTCAGGTACATTACACTTAGTATCTGTATGAGAACAGGATATTTAAAAATATGGGGGATGAAGTTGGAATAGGCCCTTGATTATATAACCAGCCCTGTAACGCACCGTAATCTGTTATAATATGAGCGTTTGTAGGAGTGGGTGGTATGTTGATGCCTTCCATAGTTCCCCATCATCTCAAGCATACTGCCAGGTTGGATGGAATCATTTAGTATTTGACGTTACTGAAGCTCAGATCATCTCAAACTAAAATTGGCTCCAAGATATTTTTCAGGCTGGCGGTCAGCTGTTTATTTAACCTAGGGGATTTAAGGATATTTCAATATCTTGGAGGGGTCACAAGGGTTGGTTGTACTGTATGACCTTTGCTGCAGATATTGCAAGTGTTGGCTGTCTTTTGGGTCCATGGGTCAATTGGCATAATCTTGGAAAAACTGTAAGCCTTGGTACAATATAAATAATCATGGCAGTGGTTTGCTAC